GTCACCGCAGCTATTCCGAAGCACCCGTTTCACCCCCACTCCCACCCCGCGCGCGCGCTTCAATCCACAGTGTCCCATTCTGCCTGCCTGCCTGCCTGCCTTAGTTTCTGGTTGTTTGGGAGCAGCTTCGGCTGAGAATAATAACTATTCGCCTCTTTTACTCAGCCGAAGCTGTTCCGATTCAACCATTAACGAAGGCAGGCAGGCAGGCAGAACGGAGCACTGCGGGCGGGCGGGCGGGCGGACGGGGTGGGGGTGGGGGAGAAACGGGCGCTTCAGGGAAGCTGCGACGACAGGAAAAGCCCCCCCCCCGCTTCTTTGAAGCAGTTTCTTCCTGTGCTGGTGGAGGAGCGAGAGAGCGACTGAGAGAGCTGACCCAGAGAGAAGGACAGGCTTCGGTTGCTTCCTCCCTCCCCTTCTTTCATTTGTGTCCTTGATCCCCGATCCCAGCAGCATTCACCGAAGGCTTCTTAACATTATATCGGCGTATAACACGCATACATCATTTGCCCCCTATTTTCAGGGGGAAAAAAGTGCGTGTTATACGCCGATAAATACGGTAAGTGTTGTGCCTGATGATTCTTGACTCTTGACGAATGTATCTTTTTTTATGTACATTGAGAGCATTTGCACCAAGACAAATTCCTTTTGTGTCCAATCACACTTGGCCAATAAAGAATTCTGTTCCATTCCATTCCATTCCACTCCACTCCACTCCACTCTATCTATATGCTGCAGCCCAAAGACCATCTCCATTCTGACATTTTCCAGGTTGAGCCTTGCCATGTGAACCCCTCCCTCTTCGTGGCCTTTTCTCGGAAAATGGGGAAGGGGTGTGTGTACGAAAGGATTTGCCTTTCTTTGCATCCTCATCTCCAGAGATCTGGATTTCTTCCTGGGGGAGGGGGTGGGGTGAGAAAAGCTGCTGGGATCTTTTTCTCTTTCCCCCTCCCAAGGTTCAGCAGATGGAACCTGGATGAAGAATTTGCATGTCTCCATCTCCTCCCCACCAAGCGGAGTTCCCACTACACTCACCCAGAGGGTCACTTCTGTTGGTCCATCTCCGCTTCCAATCCAGCCTCTTTGCCTTCTGGCCAAGGTGAGAGAGAAAGAGAGAGCAGATTCCTAGAGAGGCCAGACTCTTCCTGATGTCACTCACTTCCTGCCTTGCTCTGACACATCTCAGGGTGCAGAAGAGAGACCCTCACCTGGGGGAAAAAAAAAAAAGGATCTGCACAAGCTCAGTTTGTTCTAGCCAAAATCCCTGATGTTTGCAGAAGGAGCCCCCTGGTGGGCTCTCTGGGCAATGCAAAGGACCTCTTGCAATAGGGGAGTGGATTTGGGGAGCTGGGGGCAGATTACAGGTTGACAAGAGTTGGAAGGGACCTTGTGGGTCATCTAGTCCAACCCCCCACCCCGCCCAAGCAGGAGACCCTACACCATTTCTGACAGAGGGTAGTCCAGTCTCTTCTTGAAAGCCTCCAGGGATGAAGCTTGCACAACTTCTGAAGGCAACTTCTGTTCCATCGGTGGATTGTTCTCCTCCCCCGTCTCTCTTGTCTTGTCTTCTCTTATCCTCTTGTCTCCTTTCTTCTCCTGTCCTCTTCTCTTCCCCTCTCCTCTCTTCTCTTTTCTTCTTTCTTCTCTTCTCCTGTCCTCTCCTCTCTTCCCCTCCTCCCCCTCCCCTCTCTCGTCTTGTCTTCTCTTCTCTCCTCTTTCTCCTCCTCTCTTCTTGTTCAAAGGGTTGCCCGTGTCACAACTTTTTTATTTATTTATTTTGATTTGGCAATCGCTTACAAGATAATAGGTATAAGTATATACATAGTTATGAATACATGAAAAGGGTACATATAAGAAAAATAAAAGAAACAATAGGACAGGGACGGTAGGCACGTTGTTGCGCTTATGCATGCCCTCTACAGACCTCTTAGGAAAGGGGTGAGGTCAATAGTAGACAGTCTAAGGTTAAAGTTTTTGGGGTTTGGGGAAGAAACCACAGAGTCAGGTAGAGTATTCCAGACATTGACCACTCTATTGCTGAAGTCGTATTTCCTGCAATCAAGTTTGGTGCGGTTAACCTTGAGTTTGTATCTATTGTGTGCTCTTGTGTTGTTATGGTTGAAGCTGAAGTATTCATTGACAGGAAGGATATTGCAATGTATGATTTTATATACCATACTTAGATCAGACCGAAGACGGCGTAATTCAAGGTTTTCTAGTTCTAGAATTTCAAGTCTGGTGGCATAAGGTATTCTACAACGAGTAGAGGAGTGGAGAACTCTTCTTGTGAAATATTTCTGGACTTTCTCAATTGTGTTAATATCAGATACGTAATGAGGGTTCCAGACTGATGAACTGTATTCGAGTATTGGTCTAGCAAATGTTTTGTATGCTCTGGTTAGTAGTGTGATATCACCAGAGAAAAAGCTACGTAGGATTAGGTTAACAACTCTTAATGCCTTTTGGGCTATGTAGTTACAGTGGGCTCTAGCACTTGGATCATTAGAGATGAGTATTCCAAGTATTCTGTTCCCCTCATCTTCTCTCCTCTGCCTGCCTCCCCTCCCCTCTCCTAGGGGGGAGAATGCCCCCCCCCAAACAGTCCATGCAATTATTTTGGGTTGTCATACTTTGTACCAAGACCAAAATCCTTTTTATTCTCCATCTCAGCGTGCACTTTCCACCCGTCCCCCCATCATCCTGCGCACACACACCCCGCCCCATTGCAAGAGGACCTTTGCATTGCCTAGAGAGCCCACCAGGGGGCTCCCTCTCTGGCCAACGTGAAGATGGGACCTTCTCCGGCTTTCAGGAAAGGAACTGAGCATGCGCCGGCCCATTCCCCAGGACGGGTCCTTCTCAGGAGGCGTTCAAGAGATGTTTTGGAGAAGTGGAGTGACATCAGGGAGAGCCTGGCCTCTCTAGGACTCTGCACTCCCTCGCCCTGGCCAGCAAGCAAAGAGGCTGCTGCAGGGAAGTCTTGCGGGCAAAGAGATTCAGACGCGACACACCCGGGTGAGTGTGGGAGGGGAGCTTTCCCCCCAAAACCTGGGACGCCCAGGGGTCTCGTGCTTGCAGAGGGGAAGGAGACCCCCTTTATGGCTCCTCCTCTATGGGGCAGCCTTTGCAGTCCAGGGAAGAGGGAGGCGCAGGTTCCGACGTTCCCCTGCCGCCCCTTTCCATGCACGTTTCAAGGGAAAGGTGGGGGGAAACAAAACCAGCCTGATCGTTCCATGGGGGGAAAAAAGCCAGGATGGACAGACCGCAGGAGGAGGAGGAGGAGTGGGGGGGATGCCTTTGCATTTTGGCAGGACTCAAGCAGAAAAGAAGTTTTCCAGGGATGGAGAATGGAATGGAATAGGAGAGAATAGAGAAAACAGAAAAGAGAGTAGAGTAGAGTAGAGTAGAGTAGAGTAGAGTAGAGTAGAATAGAATAGAATAGAATAGAATAGAATAGAATAGAATAGAATAGAATAGAATAGAATAGAATAGAATAGAATAAGAATAGGATAGAGAATAGAACAGAATAGAATAGGAATAGAATAGAGACTAGAATAGAGACTAGAACAGAATAGAAAATAGAATAGAGAATAGAATTAGGATAGGATAGAGAATAGAATAGAATAGAATAGAATAGAAAAGAGAATAGAATAGAATAGAATAGAATAGAATATACGATAGGATAGGAT